TATGGACTGTTGAGCTTGGATACTCTTCATTTCTCTATATACATGTACATGCATAATTATTTCATAAAAAAGAAATCCAAAAGAAATCAAGTCCAAAAATCGACATAGTCCGGATTCTTATTACCTTTTCTGATTGAGTAGTACTCATGTTGAACTAAAAACAACTCTACATTTTATGTCTATCTTTCAAAATTTACCATGTTATAATTATATGATCAAACCGAAGAATGATGAATTTTACGCCTAGTAAGTACTTCTTAACCTTTCTACCACGAGAGAAAAATCACAGGGAATATTTTCGTCTATTATGATATTTCATCCAACATGGTTAGTGATTGGATATATTCCATTCATATGTTTTGCGTCATCAGCGTCAACATGTACAATAATTTCGTGCCATCTAGCACGTAATTAACCTAGATTACGCTTGATTAATTATATGAAATTCGTAATTTTGTAAAACATCTGGTGAAGGTTTACAAAATCATGTGATAAAATTGATAAAATCCGATGTAATATCAATTTATGAACTGTTATCTTTTAATAGTGTATATGATTGTAAATGCATGTTTAAGCTAAATGAATCATATGATGTTTACAATAAAAAACAGTTTTATCAAACAATAAAAATAATATAATTCCTACATCTGTCGACATTTTTACTTAACATGAATATTTCATTAAGTTAAATAAGGTTATGGTCATATAAAATAGAGACACAGCTTCATGGGATAGTTACATTACAGATCCTGTGTTCAATCTCTCACCAGAGGGCGTTTACGCTCTGGCGTGCCCCCTCTGGTGAGAGTTTGACCCTGTGTTATGATGTCAAGACTCACTGACTCTGGGTTGGTTCGTCGGAAAACAATTAACACGATGAACATATAAAAACTTAATATCTACATGGACGACTCGTTGACAAACTTAAGTGATACATGGTTCTGATATCCCCTTCCTTACTTACTGGAGCATACCTGTACGAAATGTTCCGCCTGGAATATAGGGGGAATTGAGGCGTACTTGGAGAGGCGTCAATTTGTCTCTCTACATATATAGTGATACACAGGTTCCGGGCGTAACTTAGGCGGAAACCAAGCGTAAATGGGCAGGAATTTGAGGCGAAAAATGCAAATGAGCTACGCCCGGAAAAATAAATGACGCCCGTAAAAAAAATTACGCCTGGAAACTAAAATGACGCCTGGAATAGAATTACGCCTGGAATGTCCTTATTATTATATAATACACACATGTACTATGTGACCTAAAAACCTATATATTTACCATGTTAACAAAGAAAAACATTCAGATTATGATTTACAATGTTAAAGCTAAAAATTTAGCTTTTAGAACTGTAAGAAAACATAATGACAGGTCATTAATATATATCCTTAACAAGTATAGAAAAATAACATGAATTTTGTGTATTAAGGGACACTAAAACACGACCACCATGATTGAGTGTGTATTAAGAATTAAACTTTTTTACAATACCTGTACATTTTATCACTTCAATAATTATATTGAAACATTTTAGTTACTGACTGAATACAATTCTTCATTTACTCAGCAGTTTACAGTTAGATTCTCACTGCAGCCTCTATGACAGACTGATATTTCTCAGAATGTGTGCAAGGACAAACTCAAATATCTAAAGTAATTTTAGGGTCAACCAGTTATAACTATCATTTTACATAATCATAATCAAATTTACTCAAATAGGTACTAGATATTCATGATCACACCTACCAGCAGACACTGTGTCATCCTCAAGAAGTGTAAAAGCCTTAACATTGAGATATCTGCATTTCCTATTTCACTCACACTAAACTCCTTCCTTTATGATCAAATTCAAACTTAACCTCCTATCTGAAATGACCCTTAATTGATAATTTAATTGACCAATCAGAGGCTTTTACTTCTCCTGAAAGTTCCAGGCGTAATTTTTGTTTCTATTTTCCTGCCATTTTACGCCCGGAAAATCTTAACTTGCCAATTGACGCCCGGAAATTACAAATGACGCCTGTAAGACGTCTCTTCTACTGAGGCGTAACTCTTTGAAAATTCCGTCTCCGCCTCAAGTACGCCCGGAATTTGCCAATTCCTGCTCAATTCCACCCAAATTCCAGGCGGAATCCGCCTTTAAAATTCATACAGGTTAAACAGCCATGCATATGTTCTAGAATATGCTTTGCAGATTGTTTCCTGACATAGATGTTTTTTATAATGCTACAAATATATTATACTTATGACAAGACCTTTCTTGAGATACCAACAACATACTAGACCCTTTGACCTTGGAGTTTGACCTACCTTTCAGAAATTTATCCTTAGCCATAACTTTTAAACAGATGGTGATAGAACTTTCATATTTCACAATCGTATTACTTGTGAGAAGACCTTGTGAGTACCAATACATTTAATTTGCATTTAAGGAAAGTTCAATCTTCGCTTTTTAGCCATACGGGGTTTCACAAACGTGTTCCTTATAACTTCTGATTAAGAAGAATGAGGCTTTCATTGTTGACATGTTTTTGGCGAATTTAGAAGGGGTTAAGGGGGCCCCGGCCACCTTTTGTGCCATACATATACAAAAGATTTGACAAATCAATGTTGTTTTGGTGTGGACCCCCATCTGACTCCAAACTGCCTCCCCCCACTATTCAAGATTTTGGATCTGCCATTGCATGTGCATTACATATGACAAGATATTTCCGAGTATATTGTGATTTCTGTCATCATGACCTTCATGATTGACATTTTTTTTTAAATAATATAACTTTTGTTATTATTTTTAAATGACATATGATAGGCCGATCATATTTGACACAATATGTCAAAAAATGACATCTCACCCACAAAGATACCGAAAGCGGGGGACCACGATTCTTTGAATTTGCTTTTAACTATTTATGAAATATATATATGGAGGCAAGGAACAGTATTTTAACTCAAAAGTCCATAAAACAATATAAAACAGGAGCAGAGTAAACACGGTCCTCCAAAACAGCAGAGGGTATACTGCTAGAAAACAAGGATGAAGTGTCATGGAGGAGTGAGCATTTCCAAAAAATCATATTCTGAATTTTGTATAAAGCAAAAACAATTCATCATTCAGTTATCATGTTGTAAATTTTGCATTTACCTCCCCCTAGTAAATTCAAAATTTTCAACATAAAGTGGATACTCATTGATAAGCCATTATTTACCACTGAATTGACGACGTAGATATTTTCCCGTTATTTCCAGATTATGACAAAGAGCACACGGTGGGTATGACCGGTCAACAAAGGAATGCTCACTCCTCCATGGCACCTGATCCCTCCTCTGATGTTTTGGAGAACCGTGTTTGCTCTGCTCCCATTTTGTATTACTTTATGAAAGTTTTATGAACGTTTAAAATCATTACAATAAAAACATACCTAAGCAACCTGCTTTTTGAGGATTTATAAATATCAATGCATCTTCATATCTAACAACATTTAATAAACTATAATTATTTCTAACTTATTTCACTGGAAAACAGTTTTACTTGCTATTTATTTTATTTAAAAATGAAGAAGCACTTTCGTCAAACTTTTTTATGCCCCCGTTAACGAAGTTTCGGGGGTACATAGTTTTTGTCGTGTCCGTCTGTCTGTCTCTCTTTCTCTCTGTCTGTCTCTCTGTCTATCTGTTTGTCTGCAAAAACTTTAACCTTGCCCATAACTTTTGATTAGGTGGCACCATGACTTTCATATTTCACATGTGTATTCCTTGTGACAAGACCTTTCTTTGGGTACCATCAAATTTGACCTGTTTGACCTTGACCTTGGAGTTTGACCCACTTTTACATGAAAATTTTAAACTTTTACTTTGGCCATATCTTTCGAACAGTAGATACCAGAACATTTATACTTCACATATGTATTTTTTGTTAAAAGACCTTTCATGGGATACCAACAACCTTGACCTTTTGACCTTGACCTTGTAGATTTCCGCACTTGTGAAAAAACTTCAACCTTGGTCATAACTTTTGAATGGAAAGGTATAGGGCTTTCATACTTCAAATATTTAATCCTTGTGAGAAGACCCTTCATTGGATACCAAGAACTTTGACCCTTTGACCTTGACCTATGAGTTTGACCTACTTTAAAAAAGCAAAAATTGACCATAACATTTAAAGGATTAGTGCTAGTGCTTTCATACTTTACATATTTTTTTCTTGTGACAAGACCTTTCATTTGATAACAAGAACTTTGACCCTTTGACCTTGACCTTGGAGTTTGACCTACTTTAAAAAAATTAGCCTTGACCATAACTTCTGAACGGATAGGGTTAGGGCTTCGATACTCTAAATAAGTATTCTATGTGGCAAGACCTTTCATTGTTTACCAATTACCATGACCTTTTGACCTTGACCTTGGTAATTTTTGTACTTATTGAAAAAACTCCAACATTGGCCTACTTTCAAATCTCACAATTGTTTTCCAGTGAGAATACCCTACTTTTGGTACCAATTAATTAAATTTGCATTAAGAAAAGTTTAATTTTCGCTATGTTGCCATACGGGGGCATCAGTGTTTAACAAACACATCTTGTTCCACTAAAAAGGCTATTGATATTTATCGGTACACTGAGTTACACTGATGTCTGTATTATTTTAAATGTTTTTAAATTTGCCAGATACATATCAAATTTTTGAATGAAAATGTTTTGAGGCACATAAAACTTAAAGGTTTCTGCATCGTTGCGTTTGCCAGTCACATGAAATAATATCAATAGCGTCAAATGTTTATCTATTGACTTTTTTTACTAACATTACGTATCCAGAAAACTGGTTTACAAAAGAGGCAGATGCGTAAAAAGATAGGTATGTAATTTGAGATTGACAAGGGTGTTTTTAATATCATCTACTTCTTAACATCAAATGTATAATCATAAAAATATATATATACATAATTTTGAAATATGTTATTATATTTAAATATCAAAATATAAGTTGATCTTCCTCTTTCTACAATTTGGTCATATGTGCACTGATCGTAACGTATCATATATTTAATCTGGGATGCACAAATGTTTGCCTGTTTTACGTTTTACTTCCTCAGCAAAAGCATAGAATATACAGTGTGTAGAATATACAGTGTGTACGTAAGTAAAACTTAATTATTTGTATACTTTTTAGAAATTATCTGGGACCTATATGCTATTTATCTTGTTATCTTTAATAAGTACTTACTTTATGAGATGCTTTCGTGGTCAAAAATTTATTCAGATCTTTTAAGTAAAAATACTTTTTAATTTCATATTGAGACTTCATCTTATCCGGTTACCCTTTAACAAACATTTAAGATATACATGTACATTTATACAGCTCAATAATTGTGGCACAAAGTCATTGAAAATAGACCAAAGCTAAGGAAAGCTACAGTATAAACGCAAATTCTCCAAGTTTTTTTATTATTTTTTTTTCTTTTCCAAGCGATTCATCGAGGAAGGATTTCTGTTTCTATATCCAACCATATAAACGTAATTAGTAATTAGAGTTTCAATCAAATACGGTACTGAGGAAAATATTAATTTACAAGCAAATTTCGTTATATTTCTTGATGAGGCCACGCCAATTTAATTTTTTGCTTGCCGGACCCGTTCGCTCATACATGCATTCAAACAAAATTATACATTGGCAAATACATACATGTAAAATTGTATTAAGTTTCCCGCAACCAGGAAATTCCGTGCTAGTTTCTATTTTCTCCCTCCCTATTTGTCATAATTTTAATTACAAATACAAATATGAAAAAAAGTAGCATATAGAATGATATAATTGTCCGCCCAAATTCTTTCATGTTCTGCTTTAAATTGTTGCCTGTACCAAAAAGTAATGATATTACTAATAGTACATAATAGCTCGCACACTCGTACTAGTACCAATGAACATCAGGAAATTAATTTGGTGTGGCCTAAAAAGGAAGACACAGAGTCTCAGCGATCAAAAGATGCATGTAAAGTGAATATTAATGGACTTGATTTAAAACATTTACGTTTTATGCATTATTTAGAAACATTTAAAACCATGCAAACAGTAGAGTACGCTCTATACAAAGCGCTGTACATACATTTACATAATTTTACGTTGATAAAAAAAAAAAAAACATGCAAAAAGGAAGAAACAAACTTAACCTTAAATGAAAAATTATGTTCTTATATTGTTTATGAACAATGATTGATACTTTAATTAGCTATCGTAAACTGTTTGCATACTTTCGTATTTTTTGTAAGGGTTGTAATCCATTCTAATACAATTATCATTTTTTTTACATAGATATCAACACAGTTTGGTATTGTTCAACATGGTATGTTTTACACACTCTCTCTCTGTCTCTCTCTCTCTCTCTCCAAAAAAAGAAGAAATGAATTAATAAGAGCAATGCTTAAGCATTTGGGTTTTTATTACTATCACTAATTACCGTGATTCAGAAATTCTAATTTTTAGACAGATCCTTGCTTTCTTTTTCTAATAAATGTACTCATGAATTAGTACACTAGAAAAAGCTAACACAAACAAATCTCCTTCACATGACAAGAAGTGTGAATTCGACATGTACAATATAACCAAGGGACATAACTGCAACTTTAGAAAACTGAATGGTACCTGAATGATCCGAAAAGATGCAATTTGCCCATCTATAAAGCGATCTTTCAGTAATCTCTCAGTCAACTTTCAGTAATCTTACAGTCACATTTCAGAAGACATTTAGTCTCATTTCAAGAATAATTCAGTGAACGTTCATCAATCATTCAGTCACTTTTCATCAATCATTCAGTCGACATTTATCAATTATTCAGTCGACGTTCATCAATTAGTCAATCTCTTTGAATCTTCTCTGTCGTAAGGTATTTAGCGAACATACAATAATGTACTGCTTGCTTAATCATGATAAGCAAGTTTGCCTACATTGGTGTATTATTATTAATAGCACTTGTATTAAAGTAGTATACATTGTCTATATGGTAATGCAGATACAAAGCTTCCTACGAACCTATATTAAGGGGTTAATCCTTTAGCGCAATCGGTAGACTACTGATTTAGCATGTTAGAGGTTCTGCATGGGTCCAATTACAGTCTCAATAAAGACAAATAAATGTCTCTATTACAGAAATACTAGTAAATTGTAACTTCCGCAATGTAGCCTGTTCCAAAAACTTCTGGGTGTTCTTCTATAAATGTATCTCAAGATTTGCTCGCATTGACATCTACTGGTTTCGGATCCGCCTCTTATTGATATAGTCTTGAAATTTTGTTTGTTTTTTCAGTCAATCTCAGCCAAATCTGGGGTATGGAAAGGACATTACACACAGAATAACAAGCGTTATCCTTTTACTATACAACTTTTTCTCGGACACATTGACGGGTCCCTGAAAGGCGAAGGCACTGACGGCATTGGGAATTTCATAATTAATGGGATGTGGGATAGGTTCAGCGGGTCTGTCCAGTTCATGAAGCAATATGTTGGCGCCCACGGTGTGAAATATATTGGTCGGATAAGCAATGATGGAAGACAAATAGACGGGACATACAATGTCACTGGCAGCACTGGAACTTTCCATATGGACACTCAATAACCCTTCAGGACTTCATTTGCTAAAATGCATTTAAGTGACTTTTCCCTTTTTTTATGCACGTCAAGCAACTTTTGAATCTTTTTTGTGTTAATGTATGTCACTCGTGATACTTGTTAAATCAAGCATTTTTGAGAAGTTTATTTTGGATAAGTACTCATATAGTATGACTCAAAATCGCAGAGAAAATAGGAGGTCAGTGTGCATCTTACCGATCTATGGTACAAATAAGTTGACCTTTTTGCACTTTTTTAACTCTTTGGTTTATTACTTTATCCATTATTATATTTTATCAGATGTTACCATGGCAATAAATTTAATCTTATTTTACGTAAAATAGTTTGAATATTATTTATCGTTGAAGAAATCTTGCAAATTAATGCACGTTTATTATTGTGTGAACTTTTGCACTAAAAAGGAACATATTTGGGGGTATTGAAAAACAATATGCAATAAAACATTTTTTTTTAAATCAAACTGTTAACGACTTAAGTGCTGATCAGTCAAAAGTATCGAGTACTTTAAATAATGAAAGAAAAATTTGATGTCAAGAGTTTTAATTTTGAAATATTGGTCAAAATATGTGATTTTCAAACGAAAAATGGTATAAATTTCATTTAGAATTATTTGACATATCTTCATTGTAAAATATGTGAGGCTAAGGTTCCAAGGTATTAAATTTAAAAAATGTGCAGATTTTCAGAATTATTAGCAAAATATACTTCTGCCACAAGAAATAGTTTCTAATAAATCTTGCTGCTTTGTAAGTTTTTAAAGAAGTTTTTTCGTTGAATGTGAAAACTTTAACATTGTTGAATTCAAATAGTCATAAAAATTGAATTTTAATATAGTTTTGAAGCAAGAGGGTCTGCGTGAACAGCTTCTAAAAAACTGACGAGTGACATGCCTTAAAGAAGGATATGGATATAACAAACAATGTTCAATGTCAAAGTCTATAAAACTATACAAAATAGAAGCACAGCAAACACGGACCTCCAAACCATCAGAGGTGGGATCAGGTGCAATGGAGGAGTGAGCATCCCCTGCTGACCGGTCGCACCAGCCGTGTTACGATCTTGAAGAAAATAACGGAAAAATCGGTCGTCAATTCAGTGTATAAATAATGGATTAACAATTTGTATGCAAATCATCAGTCAGCATTTGACTCAATGATAAATTATATTTGCTGGCGAGGTCATTGTATCGACCATAGAACATACAAAATGATGACTTTAAACGAGACTGCTTATATTCTTGTTTCACCAAGTTATTTGTCAATGGTTTACCTCGTTTTAGAAATTGTTCATACGTAGAGCATGCTCTTGTGTATCGAATCAACTGAGATATATATACTCCGTATGAAGGTGATGACGGTATATTGCTGCATAAGTAAGGGAAGTCGAAGATTGATTGATTGATTGTATGTTGTTTAACGTCCTTCTCGAGAATATTTCACTCATGTGGAGACGCCACCACATGCCGGTGGAGGGCTACAAATTTTGTCCTATGCTCGGCACTCAGGGCCTTTGAGCAGTGAGGGATCTATTTCGTGCCTGCACCTACTGCGACACGAGGCCTCGGTTTATACGGTCTCATCCGAAGGACCGGTCTCCACGTCTCACAGTGGGATTCGAACCCCCGACGTAAGGATTGACTCCTTACTTCGCGACTCTAGAGCAGACGCTCTAACCACTGCGCCACGAAGTCGAAGAAAGAAAAGTTAAAGTCATCACGTTTATTGTCATCTCTCACGAGAGATGACACATTAAGATTGATTTCCGGATGTGAAGTCCCAGTGTAAGCTGCCATTTGTCAATCGGCAATCCTCGGCTGACTCCACTACGCTACATACAAGAAGTGCGAGGCCACCCGAGGATCACTGACGAGTCAGTTTGACGCGATGATGCCATTTTCTAAATATAGAGATGTAAACAATGAGTGATCTGCAAGTTATTATTGATAAAGAAAACAAGCTGCAAAGAAATCAGAGAGAGTCCGACACACACAATCGCCTTGATGATGGGAGTTCTTCAAAATATACACAGCATGCTTCTTGGCTATTACCTAAATGATAGACAGAACTCGATAGAATCTTCTACTAGGTCAGCGCGCGTGTAAAGATCCTCTGCAGCCGAGGCGTGGATCCAAGAATTCACAGAAAAACAACATTAAATTTAAGACTTTCACATAAGTAATCGCAGTACTATCTAATAGGAATTAATGTTGAAAACTTTAATTTTTTGGTACATAACGCGGTGTCATATTTTGAAAGAACACGTAGTTATACAAGTCTGATTAATCGAATGTATTAAGAGTAAAAAAAAATCCGAAATTAAAAGCACAAGTTATAAGCGGATACATTAATGTCTATATAAAAAAACTACAAACATTGCAAGAAAGATCACAGAAGAAGAATCATTATGAGTATTTTCTTGCATGTCTAATCTTTTCTTTTTAAGGACTTATCATGCTTATCATTAAAGAACTTGCAATTATTTTCTTTATGCAGTGTTAATTGCATTAATGGCAAAATGTCATCAATTCACCCCTCCTATATAGTAATTATTGAAATGAAGCCAAAATTATAATACAGAATTGTTCATATGTTTAGTATGCAGATAAAGTTTACTAAAACACAAAAAAACACGCGTGAATTTGGACGGTCGATCACTAATGGCACAAAACTGTATATTCCGAAAACAGCCGTAAGTTCGGGGTTGGCAAATTAGTTTTTTTCAGATAATTTGTAAATGCTTGATTTTAGCCGATAGCATTTAAATTATTACTTACTTATGCTTAAAAGCATGTGGGCATTGGGTAGGGGGCCAAATCCACACAGAAATTTAAATGTTTTAATTGTTAAATCTGCTGTATATTTTGGACCAAAAAACGGTGAGCCTGGGCATCCTCTAAACCGCCAGTGCTGTTAAAAGTTGATATTGAATAGTTAACTTTTTTATGTAAGTTTAGTTCATTTCCCCCTTTATAACCCAAGGGGTTCGATGCTCATATCACTTAAAGGAATGGGAAGTTTACGAGAAGTCTTTGGAAAGAGTTGAGATTATTTAAGTTAGCGCTTTTGTCTGTTGTCAGAGTAAGATTCTGTGAAATGCATTATTTTATTATATTTCGTGCAATGTGAAATGCTTTGAATCATGATATTATTTAGACAATTTTAGAAAATCAGATCTACAAATCTGTGTACCTTACCTTTTAACTTTGTACTGCTGTAATTGTTCAATGCCAGCCCCTCCCTTATCCACACTTTTTGTTCGAGTATAGTCATGCACTATCAAAATGAATTTGTTTTTCGAAATATAAAAAAGGGAAAATATTCCCTTCTCGTCCACAATATAGGATTTTGGAGTTTGATCACTACCCTTTTTTCTAATTTGAAATATTTCAGGTAAGCTGCCACTCCCCTTCCCTAGAAAAAGCTGTAATAGCTGAGAAAAAAGTTACACTCCACTGTTTATTCTGTGACATTAATGAAGCCAAAGAGATGACATTTCGGGCTTTCTGGAAAGCCAAACTTGTTATATATCTTGGTTGTTAGATAACCATTGACGTCTTTTCACAGTTATCTCCAGTTGGAAGAGGACATGGTCAATCCTTTGAACAAACTTGAATCCCACTCACCTAAAGGTACTATGTGGCAACTGGCCCAGTGGTTCTTGAGAAGAAGATGAAAATGTGAAAATTTTGCTTCAAAGACAACAACCACAGACAACGGACAAATGTTGACCAGAAAATCTCTGTTGAGCCTTCGGATCAGTGAGCTTACGATGATGAAGATTTAAATTATTGAATATGCATGCATTTATTTACATTTTTACATGTATGTAAAAAAAACTGTGTGCTTCAAATCTTCCAACTGCTTTCCCTATAGTGTCAGCTTAAAGCACAGGGAAAATAATGTTTCTACATTGATTTTCACATATGTATCCCATACTTGATCGTTGACGGGCATCTACGGATCCCCACTGAAGATTTCTTTTAAAAATGACTGCGTATTTAACCACGGTCGACTGTGGGCGACCCAAACGACTCATACCCACGGAACCTATATAGGTTAAAGGAAAGTTTATATGTCATCCTAGAGTAATTTGCCCATCTCCATCTGCCATTAGTATATTTTCCGCCAATAAACCAGCCATCATGAGCATCCGGAGCTGTTTAAACAGATAAAATTTGCATAATGAGTTAAACTGATAATTTTTTTTTTGCTTATTTCTTCTCTAGTTATTAATTAATCTTTTACCCTGCCAAAAGTGGTTAATTATAAATGATTTACAATGAAACCGAACTGAACATTCCTTTTTCAATATCCCCCACCCCGAATCAAATGGTAATTTTCTTTGTACATGTACATACTGGAGCACAATAATATAAATAATGAAATATTAAAGGTCCTCTACACCCAGATACTCTGAAGTATATAGAGAAAAAAATTCTATTACTTTCGGTTTTATGTAGTTTGTGCTTTGGCGATCTGCCTGGCAATGCCTTAAAGGGTGTTTTTAAAACTCTATGGAGATAAAGTTTTTTTTCAAGGATAAAGTATGCAGTAAACCGAGAGCCCTACCCTAATCATAACATGATCAATAAAGGTCTTGTCACAACAAGCTGCGTCCACAAGGAGTTATTACAGCGTTGTTAAATTTGTAAAAACGCCCTGGGCTCGTAGGGAAATTGAACAAATTTCTGTAAAATTTTCACAATTCTAAGATGTTATGGCGTCCCTACGACGACCAACGCGTTTCTGTGGTGATCTCGCTCCGATTTACTGCACTTTCACTGAGTTCTCTCGGTGATTTACTGTGCTTCCGTGGGGATTTCTAGGCCTGTTATAAACTAGGAGTTGTTACAGCGCATTTACTGCGTTCTCACTGCACTGGCTGCATTCTACATACATTCGCAATGGGTTCTTAACCGATGTATATATATTCAGAAGGTTTGTGACATTTTTAAGGAGTACACAATGAAAAGACTTCTATTTGTGTCCAGACATATTCTTTAATTAAAAATGATCCATTTTTAATAATAAAGTACCAAATTATTGATAGTTTTATTATAAAAGTTACATGATGAGACAAAATCATGTGTTTCCTTTAACATGTTTAAGATATCTGTTTCATACAGAAAAATTGAGTTAAGCGAAGCTAAGATATGGGAACTTTTCCTGCACTGAAAAGCAAAAAAAGACTGCACAATATAAGTGCCAGATAAACAAAAGTTGTATGATTATACCATTTCGTTGTTTTCGTGTATGTAAAAGTCGAGCCACTTTTATTTTAAGCACAAACTACCCAGATAGCATGACTATGTTGGGCCAACATTGGCAAGAGGTTGTATGGTTGGCGTTGGGGGAACAGCGTTGGGCCAACGTTGAACCAATGTTACCATGCCAACCTTCTCGACCATGACAGAATTCCTATGTTGGCCCAACGTTGGTCTAGCGTTAGCAACTTCCATTCACTTTACTTTCCAAGGAAGGAGGAATGTTGATGTTGGCCCAACGTTGGCCCGATGTTTGTAATACACCAATAAAGAATGTGTCTTATCAAGTTGGTAGTAGTATGTTGGCCTAACGTTGGCCCAATGTTTGTAATACACCTTTTCAGAAAGTGTCTTAGCAAGTTGGTAGTAGTATGTTGGCCCAACGTTGGCCCAATGTTTGTAATACGTCCTTAAAAAGTGTCTTATCAAGTTTGTAATAGTATTGTTGGTCCAACGTTGGTCCAATGTTTGTAATACACCCTTCAAGAAAGTGTCTTATCGAGTTGGTAGTAGCATGTTGGCCCAACGTTGGTCCAATATTTGTAAAACACTTATCAAGGTAGTAGTATGTTGGCCCAACGTTGGCCCGATGCTAGGACGAATGATCTTTTGTTTAGGTGTTTCAAAGATGGGATATTTATATTGGGCCAATGTTGGCCCAATAATTATACTGCCAACTAAATGATGGTGTCAATTTTAGCTGCTGAGCTTTACGTTGGGACAACATTAAGTTCAGTTGCCATATTTCTATCTTCCAGTTCGTTCTGCTTGGATCTGTTGTTACATGTTTCTCTGTCTATGGTCACTTCAACTGGTTCGAGTTGTTGCAGTGCCTGTTGTCTCGTGACCGGCATTTTTTGAAGTCATTTTTAGGACCATATTCCATGAATTCCACCAGTTATAGGATTCTCCACCAACTGTGGCGATGGAAAATATCCTTCAAAATACCTGGTATTACTCGTCACTACATGTGTTCGTTTTCACTTTTTATTCATAGAATTCCAAAGGTTACGTTTAATCGCTAAGACTATCAACTCTGATACACACATCACATCTCTCTTTCCCCTAAACTCCGTTCACATTTATAAAGATAACCAATGAAAGAATACGAAACTCCAATGCAACATAAAAGGAAGATTGTTTGAAATAAATTTTCACAGAATTCTCAGGACAAGAAATGTCTAAGCTTTTATCTCTACTCTAAACATATAACTCCCAATACCGTCTTTGATACTGTGGAACGAAGGGGGGGGGGGGGGGAGATGTCAAATTTGATAAATACAACACAAATGCTGAAACATCAAAGTAAAAGTAAAATACCATAATCACTCCTTAGTGTAAAAAACGCTAATCTAGCTACTGGTTCTGAATGGGATATAGCTCTTTTATCAAACCATTGACAAGAACTATTCCCTGTCGCGGGTTTAACATTTGCTGTTGACTTCAACTTGGCATAAAAATTTACATGTATAGAAGTCGTTATTTTCATTGATAAGAAAGACACCACAGAGTCTGTCAATCCGTAGAATTTCTCTGTGTTAATAATGTTAATAATGGCCGGTCAGTCGATCGTACATATAGTCTGCAATGTATATATTACAGGTTTAACTTTTTATGCTTCTTGAAATCTGTAGTGGCAGAGCCCCCTCCACCTCCATGGAATTAAGTGTACACGGTAAAGAATTTGACCATAGACCCCACTCCCACCCCCACCCCCGAAAACACGGACCCTTGTTTAGTTGGTATGAAAAGTCATACACATGAAGGTTTTTAAGTTTTCCCATTTCCCTTTCACGTTCGGACGAGTTTTTCATTTGTTTCCTTCCAGATTTTTTTTTTTTTTTTTTTTTTTTACTGTGTTTAGACCCATTTGGGAAAAATCCGGATCCGTGCCTGGGTGTTGTATTTTTCACTTTGTGCCCGACCATTTGGTTGTGATGGCCATTTTCAATCAGTTTTGAATCCATTTTTTTTTACCTCTTTTCTTTTTTTTTTTACAGACATTTCTATTTCTAAAATCTTAAATTTGAATATTTATGCCCCCCCCCCCGGAATAAGAATATCACTGTATATAGCATTTAGAGCATATATTACAGAAACAAGCACCTAATACTTACTGTGTTTTTGTTGACCACGGAAGTTAGTATGGAGAATATAATTACATTTAAATATTTCACATGAATATAAATATGATATCTCCTGGAAAATATATCAAGTTATGTTTATGAGAAATTCGATTAATAACTGAGACTTTCGGAATCCGGTTAAAAACGTACTACTTTTATCGCCTTCCTCTTCAAATTTTATGCACCGAATCATTGAATGACTTGACAAAGAGAGAACGCAGCCAAGAAAAGATAACCTAGGGCTGAAAACATTCATGGTTTTTCCCGGGGAAAATAATTTAAAAAGTTGCGATTGGAAATGATTAAGTCCTTTACCAATAAGATAAAAACACTAGTGTTCAGTGATTGTTCTTGTGACAGTAATGTGACATCAAATCGAAAACGAAAAAGGAGTATAAGCGAGGGGTTTGTATTATCATTTCGAGTTTCCTCAGATTGCTTGCTAAGTTTGTACATTTCAGCTATAAACCTATTTCGGGAGTTGATTTTATAAAAGTAGAACAGCATAACAGTGTTATTGGATTAAACTGATGAATGAAAAGATGAAAGAAGAAAATGAAAAGAACTGCATACTGTTACGTTTGTTAAAACTGTAGGCTAGTCCGACCATCGTCGTGTAGTGAAACAAAAAAAAACTTCTTTTACAGTCAGGGGTGGTACTGAAATCAGTCATTTTTAAAAATGATGATTTACAGTCATTAAATTGATTTTTAATAATGATGGAAATTCATCATTTTTTAGTAAAATGATGAAAAACAGTCATTTCTATTTTGAAATTTATTTTAGAAATAGAGTTATCTCTGATATTAAAAATGACTGTTTTTCATCATTTTTTATCAAATTGTTAGGTCTGGGCGCACTTAATTATCTCATTAGTTTTACGGGGCGCACTAAATTATTTTGGTTTCAATTACTTGTCAAGATGTTTCTCTACACAAGGGTCTATGGCAGGATAGTTTACTATATCTAATTACTGTAGTAAATGGGATGGGAAAATTGACTTGAGAATGGAAATATGATGAAAAGACGTCATATTTACAAAAATCAGAAAATTGTGTACATTAGATACTTAGAAGAAATGACCATTATCCATCATTTTCAAAAATGACTGATTTCAGTACCACCCCTGACTGTTTTAGGTCCAGTTCAATTTCTTGATTTAGCTATATAGTCAAAATTTACTATATAGCTTTTTAGAATTGATGAAAAAGTTGTTTGATTTCAGTATTTTATCAAACTTTTTTCTTAAGTACATGAAATATTTTTTCAGCGGGCACAAAAAGTAACACTTTAGCATGTTTGGCGTACATATAGTAATTTTTCAGCGTAAAATGCACGTTACACTTTGTTTATCAGCTGCACGTCAATTTACCCAAATGGAACCAAAATGAAAATGAAATGGACCCAAATGCATACATGCCACTTTTGAAAATTTTCTGGGGGAGATTGCGCGTAACAATAATTTTTGAAGTTCTTAATTCTTGGCTTTTGTTGTGAAAAAAACTATTTGTAGGTGTTTTTTTTAAATATCAATCTACTACCTTGTATTATATATTATCACTACTTCAGAAAATTAAAGTGTTTTCTTCTCTAATGACAATCAACTTCAACAAAATTACAATTACACAATTAAGATTTTTAAAACATTGAAGATTAGAAAATTATATGGAAAGGGGTTGAAATATTGGGAGATTTTTCTCACCAGAAGTTTATTTCCCACAGGATGGAGTCAGACCATGATAAAAAACACAAACATGGTGAATTGAGGTTTAATTTTAATTTTTTTTTCTGCAGGGTGGAGCCAGACGAAGATGATGATGATGTCATTGTGACCTCAGTTAAGAGAGCGCGGAAATTTGGACCCCAGACGTCTACTCTCAATTGTACGAACTCATTGTTACATTTGTAATCTGGAAATATTATATACTGTTTTTGTACATAAATTGGCGTATTCAAAATTTAGTGCAACCACTGGAATTAGCGCTACACATGTTCGCGCTTTATATTGTGTGGATAAATGATTTTTTAACGGTATTTATAAATTTGCGCATTGTTCTCCGAGCCAAAGCTGCTAAAATATGAAGCCCCTTATTTTATAATACAGTTTATTTTCTCTTTATCTTGTCTTCTAGCATGTAGGGATGAAACAGTTCACCACGGTAGTGATTCACCACAGTATTTTTCTCGGTTTGATACACGGTACAAAATCTCCATTCTGGGTGGTTTATTTTTTGGTTGGGATCGTCAGTTTAGACATAAGTTATAAACACATTTCTCAGTATGATTAAGTAAAAAGTATATTTGTTGTGGACTGATGGTTTGTAAAATTATTTTGATAGTCAAATCAATTTAATTAATTTCATCTAGTCATTTTGCAAGTAAATTATGTGACTTCATATTGTCAAAGAAAGCATAAAACAATGGTTGAATTTGTTCCCTTCTATCAAAAATGTATTGTACATGTATCAAAAAAGACGAACTGAGAAAAAATTACACGATGCGTATCGAACCTCGAAGAAGTCGCATCATTTCACCCCTAAATGCTAGTATGTTGCAGGGAAATTTTGGAATGTGAAATAATCTCTTACCAAGAATTTGATTGGTTTCTTTCATTTATATATCTATTTTGACTTATTGACACATTTAGAGTAGACACTCTATTTTTAGACATTAAGTAACACATTCATTATAGACGCTGCATGTCTATTTTCAGATCTGAACACATTAATTGCCAATCCCTATCAAAAGATGGCAGACTGGTTTTCGAGGAAGAAGGCTTGGTCGGAGCATTATTTCTTTAAGAAGGCTCCCAATGGGGAGAAGCCCAATGGGGAGTCAAGGACAGGGGCACCTGGGGGTCAACCGGGTCAAGGTCAACAAGTGACCTCAAGAGTTAGTGCCACAGTGGACAGGTTCAAGACACCAGGGGATGGAGTGAAAAAGTCAGGTTTCCAGGCAACCAATGGGAATGATCAGCCAGTTCGTAATACCCTTGCCAGGGCATCAGAAGGGGTTCAGACACAGATCAAGGTCAAATTTACCCTATTACAGAGTTTCACACTCCATCTATAGGAAGATATACTGAAGTGCATACAATTATGTTGAATTGAAAAAAATTATTATTTCTGTCAATATTTTTATTCTTTTATTTAGTCTGACAACAGATCTAGTAGAAAATCAACGTTTCACCCCACCTCTACCATCCAGACGACTTCATCATCTCAGTCAACACAGACCACTACCTCAGTCCAGACAGACCACTCAGGTGAGTCAATCCACCCCTTATAGATCCTTCACACAGATCACTCAGGTGAGTCAATCCACCCATATAGATCCTCCACACAGACCTCTACCTCAGTCCACACAACCCACTCAGATCCTTCAGACAGACCACTCAGGTGAGTCAATCCACTCCTCATAGATCTACCACACAGACCTCAACCTCAGTCCAGACAGACCACTCAGGTGAGTCAGTCCACTCCTTATAGATCCTCCACTTACATGTAGTACACCCCCCCCCACTTACGATAACTTTATTGAAAATTCAAGGTTAAAGTGTACTGATGAAATGGCAAAGAATTGCTTATTTAGTCAGGCTCATAACTTTATTTAATGTTTGAATTTTCTGTTCTATATTTAGATATTTGGCACAGGATAAGAGATTTTGACACTGTACAACCAAAACGCCATGAAGACAGATCACTGTTCACCCGTCCACCTCGACAGAAATTTACAGCTTTAGAGGTATTAATTTACAGCTTTAAAACAGGCTTAAAAGTTTACAGGTCTGCATGCTAATACAGTAAAACAGGATTGTAAATTTACAGCTCTGTTTGTAATTACAGGCTTAAGTTTACAGTGCTGGGGGTAATTATAGTAAAACAGGCTTTTAAGTTTACAGCTTTACATGTACTCTCAGTCCTTTGATGTTTTTATTTCAATAGTGTGTTATTCTGTTTCAGTACTCTCAGTCCTTTGATTTTTTCTGTAGTGTGTAAGACTGTCTCAGTACTCTCAGTCCTTTGATTTTTTCTGTAGTGCGTAAGACTGGATGAGAAGAAGAAGTACCAGCAGCTGTTACAGCAGTTTACCAAACTCCCCCTGGAGAAGTCCTCATACTCCCCCGACGGACTGAGTGCCGCGTCACATCTGATGCATTATGGGTATTTCTGCTACTGTGCTCGATTACATTCATAACCTTAAGGATTTAGTATTTTTAACTTGTCAAAAACCTTTTCATGATCAGTTGGTTTATATGCAAAGCTGCCTTAAAAATTATTAATTAAAATTCTAGAAAAAGGTTAGAAGCTAATTAGTTTTCTAAGTGGAAAATGATGTTGAAAAAAAATTACCCAAGAATTGACTTGCTGAAATAAAGATACTATGAAATAAGTTAACAGTGTTGATGTAATTATTAACCATAATTTTGAAATTTTAAAGCCTTGTAATTGTCACAGAGGTCAGCTGTCAGAATAGTTTATTTCTATTGGCTGTCTATTTTTAGCTCTAGGACTGAAGGCAGTATATCGGGCAGCAACTCCTCTATAGAACTATTCTCCATCACACGACAACCAGAGGTACACAGACAGAAAATAGTTCCCACACAGAAAACACGTATCCCTACACCGCCCCGGAGTACAGACTACGAGCACCAGCGATCTCCCCGCCCGCCTGTCTCTGTATCTCCGCGGCGATCGCTGGCGGCGGAGCAGCGGGATTTATCGCAGTCTGGTAGCGATGACGTCATTTGTCTGGAAGATGAGGAGGAGGTTATCTGTATAGCCGATGATGAACCCAGAGTGACCTCCCCTATCGTCATCTCTCCTATCGGTAGGGGTTTTATTTCAATGGATTTTTTTTTTCACTATAATATTAATTTTTATTATTAATTTTTCTAAAGAAATGCATTTGAAGGGTTTTATTTTAATTAAATTTATTTTAATGGATATTTTTTCACCATGATATTAATTTTTTGAATTTTTTTTAAAGAAATGATTTCCTGAAATGTGGGTATTTTGAAAATTCTGTTAAATTAAATTAAAGAATTGTTTTCTGTTCATGAAGAAAGATATACAAGTATTATTTTGATTAATGAGTTCCTTTTGGTTTTGTTTACAGTCAATGGCAGTGCTCCCCAAAGTTCAAGGTCACATTTAGATCTCTCAAGGTAATTGTAACCAATACAGTGTAATGGAATTCACATAAATTGAGATTGTAACTTATTAACCTATCATTATGATATTAATCATTTCTTCACTTAAACTGATAAATTCAGTGTTTACCCTGTATTTCAAAATAAACAGTTAGAGATTCTTTGTAACATGGTTTAGGTTTATTACAAATCTCTGTGGACTTTACAACAATTAAATTCAGAAGTCAATTGCAATATCTGTAATAGAATTGAATGTAATAAGTCCTTTGAATAAGTCATTATCACAAAAAATGCAATATTTGTAACAGAATGTTATCTTTCTCATATAAAGGATATTTGTAATAATGGAATTATTGTAATAATGGAATTATTGTAATAATGGAATTGTTGTAATAATGGAATTATTGTAATAATGGAATTATTGTAATAATGGAATTGTAATAACATAAATATTGTAATAAAGGAACTATTGTAATAACAGGAGTCCAATTAACAGACAAAGGCAGCAACAGTGGAGGCGGCCGTGCAGTCCAGACTTCCAGTCCAGTAAATATCTGTCAGAGGAGTGGATCATAGATCTGTAAGTCTGTGTTTACATTGATGTTAATCTATAAGAGGAGTGGATTGTAGATTTGTAAGTTAATATAGATGTAATCTTTAGTAATTTTCTGTCATAGGAAAAAATCGTAGATTTGTTAGTTTGTGGTTACATTAGATTGATGGTAATTTCTAATACATTTCTCTTCAGAGAAGTTGATTCTTATTCTATTATAGCTACTATATTATGTTATAAATGGTACTTTATTTGTACAATAACCTTGTGTATTTATCTCTGAGTTTAACTTTATTGTATAGAGAGATCTTTATATTTCAGGGAGCGGCAGTATTCACGGGCAAACCGAGAAGCTCATAGGAAGATAGAAGAGGCGGAAATCAAAAAGAAATTTTACGAAGAAAAGGTAAAATGAAATTTTAAATTGAAGACAAAAGATTGAATACTGTTGGAACAACAATTTCAATAGCTTTTGCAGTCACTGTTGGATAACTTTACAAAGAAGGAGAGATTCTGACAGTGTCTTTATATTATGGGTCCAGATTCTAATGCAAAGTGCACTTGAGAAAACTTGTTAAGTCTTGCATTACTACTGTAAAATTACTAATTTTCCTGGGGGTTTAATTTTTGTTATATTTATGGTAAGACAAGGCCCACAAATTTATTTCCCAAATGAAATGCTAAAGTTTTAAATAACAGTTTTGTGGTTTTTTTTCTTCAATCCCCTTACAATGAAATCTTAATCCCCTCAAATAAAGATCTTTTACTAAATCCATGAAAATTTGACGTCTTAAAAATAAGTGATATGACAGTTTATTTAATTCTCTGTTTGTAGCATTTAAAGAAGGACCGTTTACTGGAGAATGAGGTCAGACAGAGACTGAGGTTGTATGACGCGGAGCCCGCCGTCGTCGAGGATTTACCTGTCGAACCCGAGAAAGAAGAGCCATTCCCAGGTTACCTGATACATTTTTAAAAGAAAAGTTTTTAATACTAGAACAGGAAAAATAAGTGTTATTATTCTCAGGTTCAATTTGTTAAAGACAAGTCCAGGTACACTCATTGTCTGATACATTTTCTAATAAAAAGAAAAATTTTCAATATTAAACCAGGAAAAATCAGTGTTAATATTCTCAAGTTAATTTTTTTGAAATTGAGTGAAGATGGCTGGCTTTATTTTTAGTCAATGCCAAACAGAGCTTTTGAAAATATTTTGCAAAGGGAGCCACAAGATTCAAGAAATTGAGTTGCAGAGTTTGTTTTAAGAAACAACTACTGTAGCTGTGAATAAGGCTTGCAGATCTTGAACATGAGAAATTCTGATTTTAGAGAAGCGTTTTCACATTTTTAAATAAATGATTTTTTTTATTTTTCAGAACTTACTGACGAGATGCTTCAGGTCGTTAACAATGCATTACGATCCCAGCCAGCTGATGAGGTGCTGGTGGAGGGATATAAACTACAGATACGGCGACGTGACATGGAGTCACTGGCCGGACTTAACTGGCTAAATGATGAGGTAAATAAATGACCTAGTGTAGGGTTATAAACAAATAAATTGACGTGATATGGTACTGGCAGGACTTAACTGGCTAAATAATGAGGTAAAATATGTGTCCTAGTGTAGGTTATAAACAAATAAGTTGGTGTGACATGGAGTCACTAGCAGGATTTAACTGGCTAAATAATGAGGTAAAATAAGTGTCCTAGTGTATGTTATAAACAAATAAGTTGACATGGCAGGATTCAGTTGGCTATATGATGAGGAATAAAACTATGGATCAGCATTTACATTAAGGTATTGATTGTGCCAGTTATATCAAAGAGTAATCATAACTATGAAGTTACGGGGTAGATTTGAATTTGTTAAAATTATGACCCCACAGATGCAATATAGGGCCTTGACATGGAAGAAATGGTGTACAGAAGTCCACTGTTTTTAAAACAAAGCACAATATAATGAAGCTACAGCTACATTATACTGGTGGCTAAAACAGTCTTGGTATTGTAAGCTATATCAAGGACTTTGTTAGTAAGAGCAATGTGGCCCAAAGGCCTCTTATTGTGATACAGCAAAACTCGCTTATAACGAAGTCGCTGGGACCTTTGAAATTACTTCGTTATATCCGTAATTCGTTATAACCGTATAAGAAATTTATTAAATTTATATAGCTGGGGATCCAAAATGACTTCGCTATATCCGTGAATTCACAATATCCGTGTGCGTATTAAACAAGTTTTACTGTATTTGAATAACAATTTTAGCAGTGTTTTTAGATAAAACTTTATCCTGTTTTTATCAACTTACAGTTTGGAATTAAACTTGTCCATGTGTTACAAATAAGAAGTCATCTGAATTTTTACAAATCATTAACATTTATTTGAATTCTGACAGATCATAAACTTCTACATGAATCAGCTGGTGGAGCGAGGGGAGGCGGATGGTAAACCCAAGGTGTACGCGTTCAACACCTTCTTTTATCCCAAGGTCATGAGTCAAGGTCACGACTCTGTCAGGCGGTGGACCAGGAGAGTGGACATCTTCTCTAAAGACTACATCCTGATCCCGGTACATCTGGGCATGCACTGGTGTCTAGCGGTGAGTGAATCTCATCTTGTTTTATTTTAAAGACCTGACAAGGTTGTGAACATTGTTCTGTCCCTTGAAAAGTGATTACATTTCAGTCTGTAGACGTCATGACATAGGGGTGCCTAGTTAGGTTTTTTCAGGAAAATTTCTGGATAAGTGCTGCTAGAGTGAATTAGGGATTTATAGATCTGATACTGATTGATTTTGCAGCCTCTGTTTAGAATGAATTGATAAATGTTCTAACAATAAGTTTAATCTTAATAATCCCCCAGTCTGGTTTCTAAATTACATTTTGATTTGGGGGTGGGGCAGATATTGGTCATTATACAATATAGTCCTAAGGGCATCACAAAACTTTCATGTACTTGAAGTAGCTTATTTATAAATATATAGAATTTTTTGTTTCTTCAGTTTGAAGTTTGAACCATATATATCCATTATATCTATCACTGTTCATTTCAAAGTTTGATTTGGATTCCTTCTGCAGGTGATTGACTTCAAAAAGAAGATGATCCGCTACTTTGACTCCATGGGCGGAAATAACATGGGCTGTTTAAACGCTCTCAAGTAAGTCTACAATAACATGGGCTGTTGAAACGCTCTCAATTAAATCTACAATAAGATCAAAAACGTATCAGATGTTTTTAGCTCACCTCGACGAAGTCGAGATGAGCTTATGCTATACCCCCCGGCATTGGCGTCGGCGTTAGCGTCGGCGTCCCAGGTTAAAGTTTTAGAAGCAAGTCCATTCCCAAGTAACTGTAAGCCCTACCTGAACCAAACTTGCATGGATGATGCATCTAGGGATGTACACTACCAGACCTGCTTCGGATGCTGGATCTGACCTACATTTTCTAGATGAGTGACCAGGTTAAAGTTTTTGGAGCAGGTCCATTCCCAAGGAACTATAAGCAGTACCTGGACCAAACTTGCATGGATGATGCATCTAGGAAAGGACACTACAAAACTTGCTTCGGATGCTGGATCTGACCTACATTTTCATTCCCAAGTAACTATAAGCCCTACCTGAACCAAACTTGCATGGATGATGTATCTAGGGATGTACACTACCAGACCTTGCTTCGGATGCTGGATCTGACCTACATTTTCATTCCCAAGTAAGTATAAGCCCTACCTTAAACAACCTTGCAAGGATGATGCATCTAGTGATGGACACTATCAGACCTGCTTCGGATGCTGGATCTGACCTACATTTTCATTTTCAAGTAACTATAAGCCCTAGCTAAACCAAACTTGCATGGATGATGTATCTAGGGATGGACACTACCAGACCTGCTTCGGATGCTGGATCTGACCTACATTTTCATTTTCAAGTAACTATAAGCCCTAGCTAAACCAAACTTGCATGGATGATGCATCTAAGGATTGACACTACCAGACTTGCTTGGGATGCTGGATCTGACCTACATTTTCATTCCCAAGTATCTATAAGCCCTAACTAAACCAAACTTGCATGGATGATGCATCTAAGGATGGACACTATCAGACTTGCTTCGGATGCTGGATCTGACCTACATTTTCATTCCCAAGTAACTATAAGCCCTAGCTAAACCAAACTTGCATGAATGATGCATCTATGGATGGACACTATCAGACTTGCTTCGGATGCTGGATCTGACCTATATTTCCATACAAGAGACAAGGTTTAAGTTTTGGGAACAGATCAATCCGAATGAACTTGAAGTCCTTGATATCTGCAGTATTAACAGTTATGAATATTTGTTTACACTATACATGTTTTTCACGCTACACGCATAGAAATGTGTATATGCCATGTAAGGGGTTAATCACAACTTGCAAGAATATTGTTGTTGGGATGAATACTTAATACTAAGAAAATATGATGTGAGATTTGCATTACTTAAACTGATAACATTCGTCGAGGTGAGCTTCGTAATCTTTGATTACCTATGTTTTTAAGAATGGGAACAATTTGAGGATGTTTTGAAGATAGAAATTGCCCTGTTTGTTATACTTACTGATTAAAAATTAAATTTTAAGGAATAAATAATTGAATTCATTACTTAAATAAACTTTTATTTTTCCATCACATCTGTTTTGTCTTTATTTTTAACAGAGAGTATCTGTATTACATCATGACTGAATTGTGTTTGTTTTTAACAGAGAGTATCTATGTGCGGAGAGTCTGGACAAAAAGAAACAGAAGTTTGATCTGAGTGAATGGAAGACCGAAATAACAAAGGTCTGTACCTTAAGGTTCATTGATACTCTGATAAGAGAGATAACTCTTCACAACATAAATGTCTATTACTCCTTTATACATTTGCCAAGTTGAAGTGTGTCTTATTTGTACAATTTTGCCCCCAAAGCTATGCTATAATTGTTCGTATTTTTCTTATAAAATGCAATTCTTTTAGGAAAATCATTAAGGTTCAAGCAACATTTTATATGAGTGAGCCGAGTGTTTATGAACCTTAATTCTGTAATATCAAAATAACAAACAGTCTTCATTCTCGTTAATTTTGTGTTATATCAGGCCCCAGGATCCTGACTTAAACTGAAGTCAAATTTTCAAATGCCTGTAAAATGTTAAATACATGTATGTTGTACAGTGCGACCTTTGGGGCGAGTGCAGTTTTTTATTATTAAAAACACAACTTTTACTTGCACTCCCTATCCTCGGTTCATTCCCAGGCATCGTGATCGAGATTCCAAACTTTTCAGAAGTTTCCAACAAAATCGGAAATACGAGAGCTGTTTAAGTGACGAAAATATGATGTCAAATAAAAAGTCCAGTTGACTTAGAACAGAAGCGATAGTTTTGTGGAGATTGCATTAAATCGTTTTTAGCTCACCTGAGCCGAAGGCTCAAGTGAGCTTTTCTGATCACATTGTGTCCGTTGTCCGTCCGTCCGTAAACTATTCACATTTTCGACTTCTTCTCAAGAACCACTGGGCCAATTTTGAGCAAACTTGGTACAAAGCATCCTTGGGTGAAGGGGAATTTAAATTGTTAAAATGAAGGGCCAAATCCCTTAACAAGGGGAGATAATCAAGAAAAGACAAAAATAGGGTGGGTTTATTAAAAAATCTTCTTCTCAAGAACCACTGGGCCAGAAAAGCTGAAACTTATGTAGAAGCATCCTGGGGTAGTGTAGATTCTAAATTGTTCAAATCATGACCCCCGGGGGTAGGGCGGGGCCACAATGGGGAATCCAAGTTTTACATAGAAATATATAGGAAAAAACTTTAAAAATCTTCTTCTCAAGAACCACTGGGCCAGAAAAGCTGAAACTTATGTGGAAGCATCCTGGGGTAGTGTAGATTCTAAATTATACAAATCATGACCCCCGGGGGTTGGGCAGGGCCACAATGGGGAATCCAAGTTTTACATAGAAATATATAGGAAAAATCTTTAAAAATCTTCTTCTCAAGAACCACTGGGCCAGAAAAGCTGAAACTTATGTGGAAGCATCCTGGGGTAGTGTAGATTCTAAATTGTTCAAATCATGACCCCCGGGGGTAGGGCGGGGCCACAATGGGGAATCCAAGTTTTACATAGAAATATATAGGAAAAAACTTTAAAAATCTTCTCA